TAAATTCGTCTTTACGTATTATAATATTGCTCTTAAAGTCATTGTTGATTTTTTTATTTACATTCAACCCAATACCAAGTATCTTAAAAAATAGATAAGTTCTTTTGAATTTTAGGTTACAAATTATAAGAATAATATTCTTCTTTTTATATACAACTAAAGAAGCAGATTTATTTTCATGTATAGCTGTTTAGGAAATCCAAAAAGGTTGACGTAAACGAGACGATAGTTAAAGAACATTTGATTTGATTTGATTTGATTTGAGATATCCGAATTCAAACTGAGTTAACGAAGTAAAGCAATGCTATGTAACAAGATATTCCGGTTTCCGTCCATTTGCTGCTGCCAGCTCTGACAGATAACTAAGATGGATTGTCCCATTCACAGCTACACACAGACATAACTCACATATTATTGATAAAAATATTTATTAATTATATAAAAAAATTAATAATAAGAGTGGAGTCTGTATTCTTCTTAAATATTATGTAACTAATTTTTCGGATACAACGTGTTTTTTTTATTATTTTATATCTACATTAGAGCAACCGTGATCATGTACAGACGAGATAAAATCATATTACATATTTCACACTAGCTGACCCGGCAGACTTCGTACTGCCTCAAACAAGAAATAAATTATGTCTTATTTATTGTTTTGGTGTTTACCTTTAAGCCATAAATCTCCGTGTTCTGAAGTGCGACAAAATGATTGACATATTAGTTAGTTGTCAAATCTAACGTCAAAAAACCGTTTGTATGGGAAATAAAAAAGGGCTGTTTTTAGGGTTTTCCCGGAAATTAATAAAAAAATTTCAGCTTTTAAACCTTCCCTGAACCTCCACAAATATTTCAAGACTATGATAAGATAAATCCGTTCAGCCGTTTTCGAGTTTTAGTGAGACCAAGGAACAGCAATTCATTTTTATATAATTCATTTGTATATAGAGTTATTTTTAAAAGGCATCATTTAAATGTCTTAGGTGAAGACATATTCCCCAAATTACTTTTTTATATATAGTACGATGGTATATTTCCTATAAAATTGGACGATATATAAATTTTATATTCTCCAATTAGACCAGAGCTAGTACAATCACTAACAGCATTGCTCAAAACGTATTCAAATCCAAAAACATTCTTTAGGAGGCTGTAATTATAACGATGCTGTCAGAATTTTTATTTAATTAAAATAAAATCTCCTTTATATAAGCCCCATTTTTAACTAAAACCGTATAATGAAAACATTCAAGGATATTTTAACTTCGCTGAGATCCTTAGCACTGTTTTTCTTAATTGAGCATTGATAGTATATAAATACGTAAAAAAATATCTGTCACGAGAAAAGAGAAGTCGTTTTACAAGATTTTCTACTTTATCTCTGTACCAAATTTCATTAAAATCAGTTCAGTTTTTCAGGCATGAAAGTGTAACAGACAGACAGAGTTACTTTCGCATTTATAATATTAGTAGGGATTTGACAAAGAACAAAGTATCTGTGTGTATCGGATGCTAAAATAGAAAGCTTCTGTCACTGGTAGGTAAGATCTATTTTGGCATATCATTAACAGAAACATCTGTGTGATTGTAATCCAAGATAAGTATTTATTAAAAACGATCTCAACTAATCCACTTAAACTTTACATTAGTTGAGTCATTTAGTTCATTAAAATTTTAATATTTTAACTAAAAGATATAATCATTTTTGCTTGTTGATTGTTCATCAATGATTTATAAATATTCATTTGTTTAAATAATCTTCTATTTACAAAAGACAACTATTCGACGAATTTCCATCTTTTTTAATATAAAAAAATAGATAAAAATATTTTATTAACACAATAAATTAGTAATAAATTGACTATGTTATAATAGCCCTAAGAAGTTTTTCTTTAATCTACGCTTCATATATTGTTTTTGTATAAATATATTATACCTATATATATTGTTTTTGTATAAATTTGTTATTTATTTTCATAGACAAAAACACAGCCATTCTAATAGATCATAATGAGTTCAAATTAATATAGAAAGAACATACTTTTGAAAAATTGCTAAATGAAATGAAATAAAATTACCTATAAATTGCTTTACATGAAATACATTAAGCAAAAACAAGCCAACAACCCTTTTTGGGATTTTATTTACTCATGAAAATGGAATGATCTTATTATGATCGGAAAATATATGGCGACCAGAGACCTGTCAATAGTAACGTTCGGTTATGGAACGTATTTTCTCCCTTCGTTTATGTTGTATGGTATAATAATATGAAATTATTAAAGGCTGTACACGCCTAAGCGATACAAGCATGGCAAGCATGTCTTAATATGCTTCTATCTATGCTATATTGATTTACGACCTTTACATGCATAGCATAAAGTTTCTTCATTCCCTACCTAGAGAAGGATCTCGACAGAGAATATTATACCAAATGTATATAATATACATTATAATGAGATCTAAGATTTTAGCGAGTACTAACTGACAGACACTCACATCTCGTCTGCCCGTGATCACGGTTGCTGTAAAGTAGCCGAAACGTCGGGAGTATGAGTTTATAGTCAAAAAAAAAAAATAACCGAAAATCCAAAAACATTAGTTTCATTTAAATATAAATTTGAATTATACACTTTGTACAAGTTCATGTATTACCTCTCTAGCTTGTGATAAGCACCAAACAAGACGTACATGCAGATAATAGCGCCATTGGAAAAGAAATAGAGGAAAACATAATCCAAAACATATATTCAATGTACCTTAAATAATGCCAGGGATTTCTAAAGTATAATTTAACTTCTTGACTCACATACCTTTTCCTATAAAAGAAATACGACAATTTTTATTAATAAATTCAAAATTTATTCACTAAATTGCTCTCCTATAAAGCTTCGCTTGGTTTTGAAGTATTATATTCATCAATTAAAATACTAATTGGATAAAATTCAAACTGTTTTAATTAATCAAAAAACAAAAAAGAATTCGCATATGTAGTGTTTATACTCTTCAACTTCATTTCACATCACAATACCATTTAACTTGCTGCAACAATCTCATTTCTCTACAACACCTACTCACAAACAAAATACAAAAACCACCTACATACATATGTTCAGTCGCTTTTCTAAAGAACCAGTGATCCCTACTAATATTATAAATGCGAAAGTAACTCTGTCTGTCTGTCTGTTACGTTTTCACACCTAAACCACTGAACTGATTTTAATGAAATTTGGTTCTGATATACAGTTGACCTTGAGAAAGAACATAGAATAGTTTTTATCCAAGACTTTTGAAAGGTTCTCTTGGAAACGCGATATAACCGAACTCCACGCGGGCGCAGCTGCGGGCGGAAAGCTAGTATAAATTAATTATTCTAACATGTTAATTTAAGAAAAACTAAACTAAGAATACAAAGGCCTTATTATTTCGGTTCTTAATATTGAATATGATTTCAATTTGTACCCAGTATCGTTTAGTGATTAATTTTCTGTGTACCTACTATGTAGAATCCAATATTTTCCGTTCACACATATTATATAAATTCAGTATGAAAATTTACGAATATAATTGTTATTAAATAATATTAATACTAACATTTTTATAGGAATTGATTTTTTGTTCAGTTTATTCTCCATATACTATGTAATTTGTATTTTTTTATTATCAAAATTGAAAATAAATAAAAATGTTCGAGACAGTGCAGAGCCAAAAACAAATCAAATACTTATACCATTCTATATCTTTATAATAAAAACTATTTTTGAGTTCTGTCCATTATTTTATTATTTTGCCTTACGTTTCGACATTTTTCAAGACCAAAAAACTTCCTCATATTAAAAAGTTCACCCTTTTTACTCCATGTGTAATTTTAAAAAATGATACAGTCTTAATAAATTACATAACAGACACAAGTTTGAGAATTGTTTGAAATTGTTTTTTTCATAAGAAAATACCTTTAGCTGTATGTAACAAAATATGTAGATGTGTTTCAAAATATATACAAAATAAAGTCCTAAATAACTGTTAATGTTAATAATAACTATTATTTAATATTTAACCTTTTCTAATAAATATTTCTTTAAAGATTAAAACAAAAGAATTTTCTTAGAAATCATTGCATCAATAAACATTTTATATAAGACAGCACAAAACCTTTTTATGAACCATTGGTTATGAAAGTTCATGCTGGCTCAGTTAAGAAGAAAACTTCAAAAACAACTGCAAACTTATTAAACTTTATGTACTCAGTCTCGCAAAGTTCTAGCGGTTTTTGTACCATAACAAAAGTAAGGCAGAACTTTATACATTCATGTTGTCCAATCATGTAGAAACAACTTGTAATAATATGTTAATTAAAGGCTTTTCCTACTTTGTCGATAGAATTCTTATTTTTTCTCAAAGAGAAGTAAAATTTATAAGAATTTAGAATATTTCATTTCCCTTAAAATATTATGATAAAGAACCTGGGTTCAACAAATATTCAATAAATCTTTAACAATAATTATTTTTCCTATATGTTATCATTGCACCTTGATCTATTTCGATTATGATCATTCTATAACATTGAAATTCAATAAACAATGAAATTTATTCAATTTGTAATGCATCTGATTCATGTTAAAAATTTAATATACCAAATACTGAATTAAAGATATGCTCGTAGGTATATTAAGAAACATGTTAATAAAGGTAACTAAGGAAAGTAATGTTATTAAAGGTAAGTAAGTAAGGTAAGGTAATTCAATTAAGATTCGTGGTTAACATGTCAAAATATACGAGTATGACGTAACGCCAGTCACTCGTAATATTTAGAAATAAAATAACGCCATCTAGCGCATATCGTACGAACGAGAACGTTTATAACCTATTGCAGAGCAAGAGCCAACTACTACTGAAAGCTCATACTCTCTGTAACTTTCGATGTCACCGGTTGATGGCGCTATATCCAAATTTTGAAATCAATTTATATATATGTAATATAATATCTACATTTCTACTACTCACCCCAGAGTTTTTGTACTTATCAATGGTGTCTTCAAATTGAGGAATCCATTAAGCCTCCCCATATTCTTTTCTCGGATGCTATCACTGCCTGAAGAAGGATCCGCTCTGCAAAAAAACAAATTATTATATTATTTCATTGAATAAGACATTAAGAAAGATTAAATAAAGTGTTCCAATTTTTAATGTATCCAATAACAAATAAATCATAGCTAAAAATAGTTTTTGGATTTCCTTAAATCTCAGTAATGTTGATTTTTTGTACAAATCTATTATATATTTCATATACATAATGATGAAATAAAAAAAAGTATTATTCCTAATGAAAAAATACTATTATAATCAAACATTCCTAACGCAATTACGCAATAAAACATCCTTTCGTGTAACATGTTGGAAGCAAAAATATATACGCCAGATGTTGTCTCAAAGATAAACAATTAAACTGATGAAATAATATAACTAGATAATAATATTATAATATTAAGCACAAAAGGCTTAACAAAGTTTGAGTAATAATGATATTAGTTATTAGTTCCTGCCTTTTCGCCACCACAACGCCACAAAGCTCAACTTATCGGAAGAGTATAGTGCTAAATCCATTGCAGTAAATTTAGGAACCATAATCTATTTCTCCTTTAGATATTATATCTTTGTGCTATATTGTCTTTTGGATTCAAAGTTAGGAATTATTCACTGAGACTATAAATATGTAAGCATATGTAGACGTGTTTTATACAAGCACTGGTATGTATAACGATTGACGTATTGACGATTCCCCTAACTTCAACAACAAAATTTTAAAGATTTGTTCAAGCATTTCTGTTTATTCATTCGCTTAATTTCAATTCGGGTCTATAGATTTTGTAATAATACTTGTACTTAGATAATACATATAAACAAGCAAATATGCCAGAAAGCCATCAAGAAAGCTTCAAATAAATATAAATATAAAGAAAACGTGTTTTTGGAAATAAGAATCCTTAAATTACTTTATAAATAATGTATCTTAACGCAGTTCTGGAATGAAACATGGTAATTGCGTCTCTGATTAATTACATCATTAGTAAAGACGTCAGTTACCTCATTTATTTTTAACTAAACTTATTTTTTTTAACGATAAAAGTAAGGTTGGATGCCATCACAACGGAAGAACGGAGAAAATTTGGACAAAGAAGTCTGACTTTATAAAACACAATTACATATATTACGAAATTGAATTTAGAAAGTCTTTTCAAATTTGGTTAGCAAGGGAAAAGCGCTTGGACGGTGGAGGCAGTGCCGTAACTAGGGCGGTGCCAGCAGTGCCCAGGCACAGGGCGCAGACCCTGGAGGGGCGCAGAAATAACCAGACTAGTATCTAGTTTTACCTCATGCATGGTTGCTGTATACTCATATATGTACTTTGTTACTTTGGTAAACAGCAAATAGATAAATTTATTTGTAAGCACATTTGTCCATTTTATTTTCAGAGCCTGGTTAGAGCATTTTTCAGGGGCGCAGTTTTGAAAGCTCGCACCGGGTGCATAAAATGCACTGGGCACTGGAACTGGGTGGAGGTGAGCATTTAACTCGCGTTAGATAAGGTCCCTTAAACCTATACTAGGGTAGCTAGACCCGGGAATTGTTCAAGCTTCTCTTTTGCAGGGAAGCAACGCGATGGACCCGGCACCCGCACGGTGAATATATGGAATGCTAAGAAGTTGCGTCATATGTTTTTGGTTTTTTCTGGTTTGTGAAGTAAAAAAGTTATTTTTAATACTCATAACGTGAAGCGAAATAGCAACTGACTCTATTTGATATTCAATATAAATAAACACAAAAATGTTAATTGTAATGAAATAGTTCTTTCTTAATTATTTCAGAGCCTAAAATAAGATATATTTTTTTTATTTATAAATAAACAAAAAATCAACAGAAATTACTTATTATGAAAATTTCTATGCCGTTTTATTTTTATTTAAATCCTATTAAATTTTTAAAAGATATCATTACACGGCGTAAGAATATAATTTATAGAAATGAAATAATCACTTGAAAGAGTGGAATATTCATGTTACAAAATTAGACTAGAGAAATATTAGTATATATAAAATAAATATACATATAAGTTATACATACTAATACTGATATCAAATTATTGCAAGGGTTTTTTAATCACATACGTGGTCGAAAAGCTTCCCTAACTTGATCAGTCATCGTAGGGTATGATACCTGGAGTAAAAGTACTATCGTTTGCCTTTGCCGAATATATGCTATTTTTTTGGATGAATTTCTTTTAATAAAATTTTTCACTTACACATTCAAACCACTTCTGTATCATTGACAATCTTTAAAATACTTTAAAGTATTTTAAAGTCTGTTCCTGTTGAAATAAATTGGAAAGCTCACAAAGGTTTATAAAGTTGCTAAAAGAGTAGAGGAAACCTTCGGCAATTCTTACCTACTGTCTTTGACCTAATGGATTGCTGCCAAAAATTCTAAAAAGAAAATTTGATGTTCCGTGTACTCGTTTTGTGTAAATTTTTACTCTTAACAACAAAGGAAGGGCTTTGGTCTCCCATGATATGTATTTTATTATATTGTTTATTTATGTTTTGTTACTTCACCTTCAATCGAGTTTAGTGCATTCTATGAGTATATCTAAGATATTACCCTCAGGAGGTTTTGTCTGGAAGCTAAGATAAAATGAAATTCAAAACTGGAGCATATTCTTTGACATAATCCTAGACCCATCGAGAAAGATCCCTTATATTATAGATGTCCATAGGCAACAATAGTTATTCAATAAAAGGAAGAAGTTTTTAATTTTTATCAAGGATATATATATATATAAAATATATAATATATTTCTGCAGTATAATCTAGAGATGTCTAGTAAATTGTTTTATTAAGTATGTATTAACTCAACTATTAAAGACGAAATTAGAAGTCTCTTTGTAGCAAAATACTGATCAAAAGAAATATTAATTTGTTTGATTTATATATTTTATACACTGGAGTATTACCTATTTAATTTTGTCAGAAACAAAAATCCTAAAAATTTTATATGTCAATAATTACTTTGTCATACTTTTATTTCAATAAACTTAGTTTTAATGCTACATTTACTTTATGAGGCTATATGTCTCGGATGACATCTTCCAAAAACATTCCTTACTTAATGACATTTCACTTAATATTAGAAAACTAAACCCTCATATCTCATTAACGAAATTTATATACATATATTAAAGAACTCAGAACTAGCAAAAACTGTTCAAGGCGTAATAGTTATAGAATTCATAAATGCCAAGTGTGATTTGAATTTCTTTATAAGGTTCTGTAGGTGCATAAAACATGATTACAAAACAAACATTTCTCTTAGAACTTATACTAAGTCATAAAAATACATTATTGAACTCTCAAACATTGTAAGGGAATCCTAAACATAATATCAAAAACCAAGAATATTCAGGCAATGCCATATTTCATACGTTAATATAATATTGCGTCAACATCTGGCACTGACTGGGGAAATGGCTAAATTAGATTTTGATGCCTATTAGTTTGAGAAGACACACTTAGAGTTACTATTATAAAAAAAATCTTTGTTATATGACACTTTTCTCCAAGAATCAGTCTTCAAGGCTATAAAATATATGAATACAGTATAATTGGAATAGATATTTATACAATGTAGACTAAAAAAACTATGTCTGTCTAGTAACGACTATATGTATTGCATTTTCGTCACTATTTAATATTTGTAATTCTATGGCATACAATTTCTATTTGTTTGATAATATACAGGTTATTTCTTGCAACTTTATCCTCGTTGTTTTATACATCAACCGTATTGTGAAAGAGTTAACGTTACGATCAAGTAATGCGTGTAAAAATATTTGTTCATTAAACCCTAAAGCCTTTTAACTTAATGAAGATATATCACTATGTTTTTATGACAAATGCCAAGTTTTTAAGAAATAAACTACGAACCTCCATTATTATTGAGTAATGTAATGTTTCCTTAAGAGAAGAGATCTAAGTCGCGAGTATTCATTTTAATAAAACTAATATTTTCACATACCACGCGTTTTTTTCATATTTTAGACAACATATTCCCCATATTTCGGTTACTTTGCAACAACACTGATCACGAGCAAATGAAATAAAAAAAAATATTAGGAAGATTTAATTTCATTGACTTAAATTCTATTTGCAATTTTCTTTTCTCATTAAAGTCTCGTAAATATTAGCACACTTTTAGTTTAGTCGTATTCTCGTGTCGTATTCTATATAAAGTAATACCATATTTCTGTGACAGATTTTTTTATACCGACCTAAATTTATTTTAAAATTTCCTTTCTCATTTAAGCCCAACTATAAACTTTAAATCACTTTTAAACCCTTATTTCTATACAAGTATATACCCAGGATTATTTTCTTTTAAAAGCTAAATTGCTCCGCATACAACTATAGTTACTGCAACAGAAATTGAATTCCGACTGACCACATTGCATTAGGGTTGCCAAGTATACAGATAGATAGTATCAGATAGGAGTAATATATCGCTGTACTCTGCAATATATGGAAAAGTATTGCTTTGCTTAAAATTACTTAATATGATATTTTGAAGATGCTTTGTAATATTTGAATATTATTATGCTTTTAAAGATTTTCAATTTACGATTATACGACAAATAGATTACTCCTTGTTCTATCTTACAGATACAAGATTTGAAAACATACGTTATTAAATAAGTTCATAGCTTCTTTAATTGATTTTTTATCACAAATAAATATATTTAAAGAACAAAGAACAATCTTTAAGACTTTCCATATTATACATTGATACTAATCGAGTCAGTGGTTGATACTCGTAAGCCAGAAACTTAAAAAAGCTATTGGGTTCGAACTTAGGTTTGACAAATATATTTAATTAATATAATATATAACGACTGTAAGCCATATTTTAAGATCTGCTATCATAGAAAAATTATAACGCCATTGAATTTGTATTTTATTTGTGTGACAATATATAATTACTCTCCTTTTAAAACAGTCGTCTCGTACACTAATATAATTTTTATGCATGCTCCAAAATATTTTATTTTCCAAGCTCGTTA